TATATATATATATATATATATATATATATATATATAAATTCAATTTGTTTGATAATAATTTTCTTGATTGGGTTTGAAAGACACTTAAGTATTTTCCTTAACACAGACCATTGGTGACCATTCCATTGGTTCTCGATCCGATTAGTGATGAAAAAGGCTCAAAAGTTAATGCTTTATCAAAAGGAGAAATATGCATACAAATATGCTCGTAACATTTGTAAACATGCACAAGAACTAATGAAATAATGGTCTCACAATTACCCACTTTTTGTTTTTATAGTAGTAATTTTATGTATTCATGAACAAATAAAAAACTGTCAAAAAAATTGAATACTTAACTTAGTTCAAGCAGTTTCAGAGCAGAGAAAAACAATTATGGCGGCATAAAAAAGATATAAAGGAAAATGAACACTAAATGACAATAAAAATTAGAAATAAGACTCAAATTTCATAAAATATTACCTTTTTTCAGAGTTGAAAGTAGCTATAAATATCAATCGTAGGTTACTCATGGTATAACTGTGATGTCTGCTAGCAGTCTTCTATAATTAGATTTATTTCGTGCTGTCCCTAGCAGGTCATCAGCTGTTATGGTGTCATCCAATCAGGAGCTTACATGTCACTATAGTGATGTTCAACTTCCTGATTGGATGACACTGTAACAGCTGATTTATGTCAGGGGTGAGTTATGTTTAAATCCAAATATAGCAAGGTAAAGATCCCTCCGTGACCCAAGATATGATCGGACAATATTTGTAAAATGTTACATTGTCATATATATAATTGTCGAAGTATCAATTCCAATGCCACAAATTTTTTATCATAGATAAATTATTTTATCTTTTGTAATCAGAAAAATTGCCTCTAGGTACCAGTGCCATTGTATCATCTAAAAGATGTTTGGGCACATGTTGAACAATAGATATTCCCATGATTTCTTTTGAATAGCGTTTGCATTCTCATTTATAAAGTATATTTTTCGTTTTCGAGGAGACAAATATTAATAGTAATTGAAATTCCAAGAGAAATGTTTCTCTGGACCATTTAGAACAATAAGCAATAAAGTGTGAATTATAATTTAATTATAATGGAAATATGAAGCATTAATACAAAATGCATAAAATATGCACTAATATGTTATACAAAATCATCATATTTCTGTTTGTTTGTGTTTTGTGGAAATTTGATACTTATCATATTATAAAGCTTATAATTAAAAATATGATTTTTCATAAACTTCTGGACCTTAGTGATGAAATGCAATTGTGGTCCAGTTTTCATTCTCTCCTTCATCAGCTTAACCGAATGTTCTCAAAGTCTGAGATCCATAAGTTGTTTAAATAGTCAATCCTTATAAGTGTAGAGAAAATCTTCTTAATGAGTGACGACATTAAAGCAAACTCTACTCTGTAACAGATACAGAGTAGAGTTTGCTTTCTTTGTTACAATGTTAACTTGACTTTCCCTTTTAGATTGTGTGTTACAATCTCACTTAAATAATTTTGTTGGCAGGTCTGACATTTGTTTGGGTTCAGAGGGAGCAACCAAGTTTCAGACAAGTTTACCACTGTTTCAAGATAATTTTGAAACTGTGCATGCAATGCCAAAGAATAGGCAAAGAGTTTGGTGTTGTCTGCATTCCAAGTTGAGGAAAACTTGTTTCCAAGGTTTCTGGTGTAAAACATGAGCAGTGGAGGTCCTAGGACAGAACCTTGAGGTACTGTCCTGGAAACTACTCTGGATCCTGATAAGTATTGTCCAACCCCAACTTGGAAAGTTCTATTTGACAAAGATTCTCTTATCCATGTGAGAATTTTCTTTTATATCCTCAAGGAGTACAACTTGTGTAACAAACACTTGTGTGGCACTGACAGCTTTAGAAAAATTTATATACAGTTGACTCTGGTTATAGCAAACTGGGATATAGTGAAACCTTGGTTAAAATAAACTTAAGTCACTGATCCTGTTTCACTTACCTTGGAAATAAGCATAAGAAGATTGGGTTATAGTGAAGCTCAACCTCGGCTCTATTGAACGTAGGAGTCATGGAAAAGAATTGCCTTCTGGAAATGATTATATATCCTGTCAGTGCCACAAATTCCAACGCTCGGCAGCTTGAAATATCGTCAGCCAAAGTTAATAATTGAAGAAATCTCTCCTGAGATGAAGCTACTGGACCCAGACTGGGCAACGTACTGATGACCTTATGCCACTCGGTCAGTTTGACTGAGGAAACAAAGGTCACGGCCTGCGAAGGCTGCAACTGGCAACAGCAATGTGAGATTACTTACTTCAGATTTAATTTTGGTGTTGTTTGATAGTCTGGACAAAGCACGTTGAGTTCCATGAAGGCCGCAGGAAGCATGCCACTGCCACAGCCCCAGAGCCTGGCAACATCCACTGTTACGCAAAGAAAAGCGATCAGTTTCATTAGCCGCTTGCAGCATACAAAAGGATCTTGTTATTAAGGGAGTAAAAGGGCCTTCAAATTGTTGGACGGTGTTCCAACAGTGCAAGAGACATTGAAAGGTGTCAAGACTACATTTCGATACCTAGAGACAGAGAACAATGCAGAATCGAGTATGGGAAGAGCACAAACTCTGCAGAAGGATCTAGATAAATTTCCATAAAAAATTGTAGGAAGCAAACAATTGAAAATAATAATTTTTTTACTAATTAAAATGTTGAAAGTTTCAGTTCATGCTGTTAATGAATTTTGCTGTATTGCTACATTAACAAAATTAATCATTATGAAAAAATTCTATTTAATTCTGCCATCATTGGATATAGTGAACCAAACATGTTAGTCCCCAGAAGTTCACTATAACCAATGTCGACTGTATACTACGTCCATGCTGGTCGCGATATACAGCTTCAGTTCAAACGTCCAACGATGAAAGTCAGTTGGTGACAGTAGACCATCCTGGTAGTAAAACACACTCTTCTTGTGGGATTATGCATTTGGCATTATTTCAAATCCTTGCAGCAATTATGGTTTCCATTGCCTTGCATACAATACTGGTGAGACTCGTGGACCTGAAGTCCTTAGGATTTCTTTTATCTCCCTATTTGAAAATAGAAGTAACTTAAGTTTAAGATACTTCAAGAGTCAGTGTACCTTCTTTCAGTTGACGGTAGTTGGTCTAGGTGTTCAATTGAATAAACTTCTTTAAAGTAATCTGCAAGGCATTCTGCAATTGTACTGTTTGTACCCCCTTCTAGTTTTAGGATATGCACGTACCACTTTGTACCACTTTTTCTTCATATATTTAGGCCCGTGCTTTACTCTTATTTGTCTTTTAGCTTTGTGATTTATGCAAGATTTATCCTAATTTTTTCTCATTTTATGTTTTGGCGAGAAAGTTTCAAGAAGTTGGTGAGCCATGTCACTAAAATCCTCATAATTTGTTTCAATATCTTGGTTCATGAAAGGTATTTGTTCAAATATTATTTAATTTCATCATAATTTGCTGTAAAAAAATGATGCTCATTCAATAAGATATCTATCTCTGTATCTTACTTCATTGCTGAAGAGCTGATCATGAACATTTAGGTTGGGTTATGTCTTGGTATGCTTGGTTACAAATCAGTCTGCCTTAAGCTCTTGATGTGAGAAGATGCGAAGTGCGGTGCCGTGTGGGTCACCAGAGAAAATGAGAGATTTTGAACATCGTTCAGTGATAAAATTCCTCACAAAGGAAGAGAAGCAGTTTAACAAAATCCATGAGAGGATGCATGTTGTTTATGGTGATGATGCACCTTCGTACAACAAAGTAAAATTTTGGGCCAAGCAATTTAGATAATCAAACGAATTGATTGAAGATGACCCACCTTCAGGGTGGTCTCTGGAAGCATACAGGGGAAAAGTGCCAAAAAATGGAGACCATGATTTTTGAAGATTGTTGTATGAAGGTCATATAGGTATTATAGCTTATGAACTTGGCATTTCATCTGTCATGATTCATAGTATCATCCATACAGAATTGAAGTCAATGGTCAGTTCCCACTGAGTGCCAAGAAAGTTGACTCTTGAGCAGAACATTTCCCCAGTAATGTTGCAAAGAGAATTTAAACTTGGTTAGAGAAAGGTGGTGAAATAAGGGTTCACCATTGTGATACTGAAACCAAGCAAGAGTCCATAGAATTGGAAGCACAAGGGGTCTCCAACAGCCAAATCATTTCGGGTGAAGAGGTCATTTTTTGGGTCACACAGGGCCTTTTGCGTGTAGAATTCTTACCACACAAGACAACCATCACTGGAGACACCTATTCTTTAACTGCAAGGGCTTTATGTGAGTCTGTAAAACAGAAGCACCACTGTATGTTGTCTGCTGGTGTGTTGTTGCTCCACAATAATGTACTTGCACACAGTCACATAAATCATATGCTCCTGTGAAGGACTGTGGCTTCGTGTAGCTTAATCATCCATTGTATAGTCCAGATCTGGCTCCCAGTGACTTTCAGTTTCAGAAGTTCAATTTTAAATGTCATTGCTAAAATTTTTGATAAAATAATAATCATCAAAGTCTACATTTATCCACAAATTTTGAGTGATTGCCATGCTTCTGTATGGGAGAAACTGGTGAAACCAACTTGGTGTGAAATTTGTGAATTTTAGTCATTACATTATTTGTTTATATTAAAGGAATATGGCAAATAGGATGATGCTCTTTATACGGAGTTTGTAAAAGCATTAGATAAAATACTGTTACACTTGTATATTCATTTGATAATGAAAATTGTATCTTGGATTTAAGCCTGATATTTGTATAAATAAATATTTAATGGTTTGTATAATTAATTTTAATAATAACTAATTTCACAAAAAATATAGGATAGCCGCTTGTTTTATTGAGACTTTAATTGCAATGTTACAATAAATACTTCATGAAATTCTTTTAAACTAATTAGAAAAACTGTGTAATAAAATGTTACATTTGTGCAGGTTCACAAACAACAATTTATTCTCCGGGAAGGTCCTCCAGGACAACCACCACAGCAGTTTGCTGTCACCGTGCAGCAGCGAGAAGTGGTATGGCAACAGCAACAGCAGCAGCAGCAACAACAACAACAACAGCAACAACAACAGCAGCAACAACAACAGCAGCAGCAGCAACAACAGCAGCAACAACAGCAACAACAGCAGCAGCAGTTCCACTTACAGCGACAGCAACTTCAGCAACAACAGCAGCAGTTGCAACAACGCCAAATTACATGGAGTCAGCAACCACAACCTCAGGTACATGGAACTTTAGTTACCTATATTTCTCGTGCTGCAAAGTTTGTGAATGTACTAAAATACGAGGAACTGGTATAAACAAATTGAATTCTTAGTGATGAGGGAAAATGAAGCAAAAAACGTTAAACACGTACAATGTACCCTTTTGTAATAAAGTCTGCAAATAACGAAAATAGTGAAATATATCTACAAAGTAAGTGTTCAATGATACAGATATGTTCTTTTATCAATGAATTCCACTTATGAAAACAGTGAAAACTGTATTTACCCAAATATAAGACAAGCTTTTTTCCTAAATATCTCAATGCAAACATACGAGGTTGTCTTACTTCACAGATTAAGCCTAGTCAATTTAAATTGATATTCTTATATTGACATTCTTTGTTGCAAAACTTGTAAATATTGGCATAACAATAAACTGCAATACAAATATCTTGCAGATATATAGCACATACTTGTATTCGTGGACGTGTTCTTGGCATACATTGAGAATTAGCAAGGAGTTTCAGACTGATAATTTTGAATGACCTCTTAAAGTGAGATTCTCAAATGAATGGCATTGTATCAAGTGAAATGCAATGTAAAATTGAGTAATAATAATAATAATAATAATAATAATAATAATAATAATAATAATAATAATAATAATAATAATAATAATAAAATGCAGAAATTTGTTTACTAAATGCGCTGTTTGACAAGGCTACTCAGACTCTCGTTGTATCGCCTGGTGATTGTGAAACTGCATGGGAGTACACATTCTACATTCAACCACAGAAAGGGATAATGGAAAACTATTTTGTTAGTGAAAACTTCCCAAACTTGTAAACTTGCTGTTATCTTGTGTGTTAGCTGTGAACAAAGGTGTATGAGTTTGCGTTTCACAACTCAGTGATACAAACATTAAATTAAATAAACAAATTTCAAATATACTCTGGTAGAGAATATGAAAGAATTGTTATAGTATCAGAGGCCACAACAAGAGCGAGACAGGAGAAAAATCTGACACTGAAGGGAACATTGTAGGTGGCATGAAAAACTAGGAAGGCAAATTCAACCCACAAAAATTTCAGAGGTGGCCTAAGAACTGAGAGAATGTTGCAGTATGGAGAAAGGACCAGAAAGAAACCATGATACATGTAAAGATGAAGACGGTAGTGACAAAAACCATGATGATGATAATTTTGAGAAACAAGAAGCTCGAGCAGTAAGTTTGAACTTTCTCATCGAGGTATTTTCTTGTCAACTAGACTATTTATGATTTTTGTCTAAATAATAAGATTTAGTTAAAACTTAAAAAAAAGTTTCAGAGACCTCTTCAGAGGGTTGTTTTATATTCAAACTTATATTAGGGTAAATATTGTAATATGTTGAATTCAAATCAGAAATGGTTTATTGAAAATCACTATCAAATTCACCATCAAAGATGAAATTTCATCAACATCAAAATATTCTGCTCTTTTGACTCCAGCTATGACATAATTTTTTCTCATTGCCAAGATAGTGCTGTTGTTTCTTTAAACGATATGCCAACAAATCAAATAATAAAACTTTTGTGAATATATTATAATATTCATTTGTTGTTGAATCTGTAGATCACCCGGTTCATATATTGTGGAGAAGTGCAACTAAGAGTTACAATAATAAACTTAACGTTGTACATACCTAATAATAAATGCATATCCTAAAGTTATACTGTTTCATAGAAATCATTTCTTGGTATTTTTTATGTGCATCAGTATATTGTTGTACTTTGCTACAAATGGCTGAGACTTTTTATTGGGATTGTAGTGGGAAATGGGTAAAGTTATAAAATGTGGGCTGAAAAAATTCATTCTTGTTTGGTTTCTTATGCAGGGCCCACCAAGGCAGCTGATACATCTGGACCCTGCAACACATGCACAGCTGCAGCAAATGGATCCCCAACAACGTGCCCTCTTTATTCAGAAGATCCAGAAACAGCGACTGCTACTCCAGCGTCAGCTTCAGGTGTGTAAAGAACTAGGCATAGGAAGCTTACAGGAGGGATTTGTAAAATGGGGAGTGCAGGTGAGTGGATGGTCACCTGCATACATGATACGAAACAAAAGGAAAGGCTGGCAGCAGGAAAGACAGTGGTGAAGTAAGAAAAGAAAATAGATAAACGTGGAGGAATGAATTGTAAAAGAAAATGCTGGAAGTTAGGAAGGAGGAGGTGAGTGATCTGAAAGAGAGGGAAAGAATGGTCTAATGGGGAGAGGGAAAAAACAGGTTGCTGCAGG